ATACTTACCAAATAGCTGCCAAAAATGAGGAACTGGGATCTTTTTATTTGGAGACTCTGAGAACAGGATTTGGAGACAGAAAGACGGGAATGGGGTTTTCCAGATCATGCTGGGCAAGATGGAGGTTCCAACTGAACAGCTACTACCATCCGAACAGTTAGTATAATTGCCACCCCAAAACTAGATGTTTAGAATGGAAAGTCACTAGTAGCCAAGAACAGCCAAGGTGTGTAATGATCTGCAGACATGATAAGGTCATGTACCTGATAAGCTTTAATAGAAACAGGAGGCAGACCATAGCTGAACCCGCACATGACTTTGGGGGGGGGGGGACAATGATAAGACAAATTTAAGTGGCAGAGGGAAAAACAAAACTCAGATTGTACCTTCCTGATCATTGCAGCCAGTGAGGACAGAGATTGTCTTAATCACTGTTCCATTGCTATGAAGAGACACCATGATAGCCATTCTTATAAAAAGAAAACATTTAAGTGGCTGTTTGCTTATAGTTTAGATGTTTAGTTCATTATCCCATGACTCTGGCATCTCCAGCATTTGGGGGTCTCCAACACAATCCAGGCTTCAGCTTCCCACAACTGCTCTTGGCTTCCACACAGGGACACCCTTCATACATGCCTGGCCTCAGTGGCCTTCCTTGGCTATGGAGGGAGAGTTCACAATGCTTTCTTGAACCTTGATTCTAAAGCCAGAACCACTTGGTCAAAGCTGTCAAGTTCTGCTGCTTGACTGGGGCTGGAACTTGGCCTCCTCCTTCAGTTATATCTGCACGGGTTTTCTGTTGCTGCTGGTTTTATTCACTTTCCTTTAAAATTCCCTTTCACAGTTTGGAATTTGCTTAGCTCAGTGTGGCCCTGCCCTGAGACCACCACTCCGTTTATTCCATTTAGCACCAGGCTTTTCTTTAACCTTTTTATCTGGATTTGGCTCCAACACTACACTTCCTGGTGCTCCTAATCTCCTCAAACTGTACAGTTTGTATTTTTTCTTTCTCAGTATGGTGATTTGGAAGAAAATGGTCCCCAAAGGGAGTGGCATTATTAGGAAGTGTGGCCTTATTGGAGAAAGTGTGTCACTGTGGAGGCAGGCTTTGAGGATTCCTATTCGTGGCAGTGTGACTGTCAACTTCCTGTTGCCTCTGAATCACAATGTAGGACTCTCAGCTTCAGCACCATATCTGTCTGCATGGTACCATACTCCCCACCACGATGATGATGGACTGAACCTCTGAAACCGTAAGTGTGCTCCCTCAATTAAATGTTTTCATTTGTAAGAATGGTTGCATGGTCATGGTGGCTCTTCACAACAAGGAAAACCCTAAGACAGCTTGCTCCTTTTCAGTGCAGATTTGCATACACAGTCAATACTAGGCTGTCTTAAAATCTCCTCTGATAACATCATTAATCTGAAACTCTTCAAATTTTTTTTTTTTTGGACAATGGCAGAAAACACCCACATTCTTCACCAAAATATCACAAGAATAGTCTCTAGATCACCTACTAATATTCTTCTCCTTTGAAACTTCTTGAACTAGGTCCCCACAGTTGAATCACCCTCAGCACTGTCTTCCACACTACTCCTACTAATTTGGTCCATCAAGTCACACCTAAAGTATTCAACTGTTTTCCTAGTCCAAAGTCTACAGTCTACCAACAAGCAGTATGGTCAAGCTTATCACATCAGTACTTTATTCCTGGTACCAACTTCTGTCTTTGTCAGTGTTCTATTGCTGTGAAGGGACACCATGACCCTGGAAACTCTTATGAAGAAAGTATTTAATTAAGGCTTGCTTATAGATTCAGAGATTTCACCCATTATCATCATGGGGGTAGTATAATGGCATTTGGGCAGACATGATACTGGAGAAGTAACAGAGAGTTCTATATCCAGATTCACAGGCAGCAGGAAGAAGGAGACAGGGCCTGACTTAGTCTTCTGAAACCCCAAAGCCCACCTCCAGTGACACACTTATTCTACAGGACCACACTTCCTAATCCTTCTAAAGCGGTGCCATTCCCTGATGACTAAGCCTACAGGGGTCACAGGAAAAGATTGCTTCTGTTAAGCTCACAGGGAGTGGCACTGTTAGGAGGTGTGGCTTTGTTGGAGTAGGTGTGGCCTTGTCGGAGGAAGTGTGCCTCTGTGTGGGTGGGCTTTGAAGTCTCATATATGCTCAAGCCACATCCAGTGTCTCAAGCCATTTCCGGTTGTCTGTGAGTCACCATGTAGGACTCTGAGCTCCTTCCCCAGCACCATGCCTGCCTGCATGCTGCCATGTCCCATCATAATGATAATGGACTAAGCCTCCGAAAATGTAAATTGATATAGTCATGGAGTCTCTTCACAGCAAAAGAAACCCTAACTAAGACAGATGGACACAGTTGGAAATTGTACAGAAATCAACATGCAGGGCCTCAAATAACTAAAAAAGGGAATTTTCATGTGATTGCTTCTAGAATCTATGTCAGCAATCTACAGAGATATTTGTACACCCTTGTTTATTGCACTATTTATGGTAGATAAGATATGGAACCAGCCTAGATGGTCACCAGAAGATATGGATAAAGAAAACATGGGACATGTATACAATGGAAGAATCTTTTCAGAAGTCCAGATCTCAGGTAACCTATGCTGGCCCAGAACTTGATATGTAACTGGATTTGACCTGATCCTCCTGCCTCTACCTCTTGAGTGCTGGGATTATAGGTGTGGGTCACCATGAGGGTTTCATACACTGGAGTTTTATTTAGCATAAAGAGTAGTAAAATTACATCATTTGTAAGAAATCGGATGGAACAGGGGATTTTGTTAAGCAAAATAATACAGACTCAGAAAGACAAGCAGCATTTTCCTCTCCTACTTGGAATCCAGATAAGAAAGTGAAATGGAGACTATTAAGAATGATGAGTGTTGACTGGGAGGTGGTGGTGCACACCTTTAATCCCAGCACTCAGGATTAAAGCAGGAGGATCTCTGTGAGTTGGAGGCCAGCCTGGACTACAAAGTGAGTTCTAGGACTGGCTCCATAGCTATTGGGAAACCCTGTCTCAAAAAAAAAAAAAAAAAAAAAAAAAAAAAAAAAAAGAATGATGAGTGTCTTAGGATTTAATCACTGTGAAGAGACACTATGACCAAGTCAACTCTTATAGAGGAGAACATTTACTTGGGGCTGGCTTACAGTTCAGAGGTTCAGTTCATTATCATGGTGGGGAGCAGAGCAGTGTGCAGGCAGGCAGGGTGCTAGAGAAGGAGCTGAGAGTTTTACATCTGGATCCACAGGCAGCAGGAAGTTACTTCCACATTGGGTGTGGCTTGAGCATCTGAGACCTCAAAGCCTGCCCCCAGTGACCACTTCCTCCAACAAGGCTGCACCTACTCCAACAAGGTCACACCTCCTAATAGTGCCACTCCCTGTGGGCCTATAGGGGCCATTTTCTTTCAAACCACTACAATGAATAAGAGCTAAATGTGCCACATGCATGCACAGAGCTATCACAACGAGCTGGAGAGATGGCTCAGCTGTTAACACAGGGCTGGTCCTCAGCACCTGCACAGCAGTTCGCAACCATCTATAACTCCAGTTCCAGAGGATGCAGCACCCTTTTCTGACCTCTGTTTTTTGTTTTGTTTTTTGTTTTGATTTCCCAGAGAAAGAGTTGCTCTGTATTGTTTTGAAGCCTGTCCTAGAACTAGCTCTGTAGTGATGGTCTTGCCTCTGCCCCCTCATGACTGGATTATAGGTTTGGGAGTGATGCCTAGCTTGATACATGCATATTAGGATCTGAACTTCTGTCCTTATGACTGCAAGCATGAGTTCCTAACTGCTGAGCCATTTCTCTAGCCCCTTATTTATTTATTTATTTATTATTTATTTATTTACTTACTTATTTATTTTGAGATCTGGTCTTAAGCTGCCCAGGTTGAGCTCCTGATCTTTCTGTTCATCCTCCAAAGTGCTAGGTTTTCAGGCATATACTGTAGTACCTGGCTCCTCTCTTTTGTACTTGAAATGTAATCAATATGCTTGTATCTTAACACATTAAGAGAGAAGCATTTTGCTTAACTAATTTTCCTGCTGGAAGGAAAATGGAGGATGACCAGCTGGAGGCCCCGTTGGCCCTTACCCTTCTATCAACAAAGATGTTTCTATGTATAGCCATGATCTCATGTATACCCTATTCAAGGAATGGCATCTTTCATTAACATAACTAGAATATTCATCCAAATTATTTTTATTTAGTGTGTGTGTGTTAGGGAGACATGTATGTCACAGCACGACCTGGAGGTCAGAGGACATTAGGGAGGAACCCATTCCTGAGCTCAAAATATATCATGGCAGCAAGCACCTTTTTTTTTTCTTTTCTTTTCTCTTTCATTCTTTCTTTCTTTCTTTCATTTTTTAAATTTCATTTGTTAGATTATTAAAGGCAGCTGTAGAGAGACAGAGGCAGAGAGGGGTTTGGCCTGATCTTAGCTGGGACCTCCATTATTCGCAGCAAAGGGGGTATTTTTGTTGCTCACCTGTGCCAATGGCTAAGATGCCCACAGAAGATGAGATATGGCCTCTTACAGGGATGGATATGACTTCATAGTCTGCAAAGGAAGCAGGGAAGTATAATCTTTTAGCGGAAACATCATCATTATAGTTTGAAATTTATCTTAGAGTTATGAAAAAGAATTTCTTAGATTCTAATAAAGGAACAGCTTTACTTTCATAGGGAAAAACAGTTCACAGAACCTGACGTGACTATAGTCTAGCAATTCTTGGGCTGCTTAAGCAGTTCCTCAAGGGCCTGGGATCCTCTCCAGGCTCCGCCCCTCATTTCAGGCCCCAGCCCCGCCAATAGCTCCGCTTTCCTTTTCTTCCAGACACCGCCTTATCCAAGGCCCCGCCCCCGATTTTACTGTGGCGATCTCATCGTCCCCCAGCAGGGCCTAGGTCTGCGGCTGCGCACAGCGACCTGGTTAGGTCACGTGCTCGGCGCCGGCGGGCCAAGATGGCGGCCTCCTGCGTGGCGGTGCTGGCTTTGGTGCTGCTGCCCGTGCTGCTGCTGGGCGCGTGGAAGCGTGGGCGGCAGGCGGGAGCGGCTCCGCACGTGGTGGTCATGGTGCTGGGCGACGTGGGCCGCAGCCCGCGCATGCAGTACCACGCGCTGTCATTGGCCCAGAGCGGCTTCTCGGTGACGCTGCTGGGGTTCTACAGTGAGTGGCGGGGACCTGGGAGGGATGCTCAGCCAGGAAGGAGCCTTGGCTCCCTCTACTCTGGGCCCGAGGCAGGAGTGGCTGTTCTCCTCTCCTGCTTGTTCTGGCCTGAACCGCTGCTTCCTGGTGTCTGAGAGTAGCCTATGTCACCCGCCCGTTACCATACGTGAGGACTACGAAGAGAGCGGTTGCAAAATCCCACGTAATTCTAGGTTGTGCAGAGACTGGGGCTGAAACCCAAGTGTGTAAGACCTCAGTGCTAGTCACTACTTCCTCGTGCTGCGTTGTCAATGAGTTAAGAGGCCAGGTTTCTTTACATCCCTCATCCAGCGCAGAGACTATCTGGGGATGTTTTTCTTATACCCTAAGGTGCAGGCAGAAGTGTACACTTCCTCCTTATGCCCCGTGTTGATGATTTTGCAGGGGTTCAGCCTCACTAAACAGCCTCTAGCTGTCCTGGACCTGGATATGTAGACCACAGTGTCCCTGAACTCATAGAGATCCACTTGCCTCTGCCTTTAGAGTGCTGGGATTAAAGACGTGCACTACCAAGCCCTGCAGGGTTTTTGACACAGTGATATGAAATCTACCAGCACGTCAGGCCCATTCATAGCTATCCTCCAACACATTCTGGGCACCTCAAATTGGACACATCTGAGAATTAGGAAGTGGCTCAGCTTCATTTAAGAGAGTAGCTCTTATTGGTCCTTGTATGGCGTGCCATCAACAGGCCTTGAGTGGAATGACTGATCCAGACTCTGACATCCAGAAGTCTACATCAATTTAATTGAGTCCCTATTGCTCGCCAATCATCAGACTAAAGAATGTGGATATGCTGAATGCCTTTTGAGGGCATTCTATTCTCTCTTTTCCTTTTTTTTTTCTTTTTTTCCTCTCTCTCTCTCTCTCTCTCTCTCTCTCTCTCTCTCCCTCCCTCCCTCCCTCCCTCCCTCTCTCTCTCTCTCTCTCTCTCTCCTCTCTCTCCTCAAGACAGGGTTTCTGTGTAGCTTTGGAGCCTGTCCTGGAACTGGCTGTATAGACCAGGCTAGCCTCCAACTCACAGAGATCTGCCTGCTTTAATCCCGAGTGCTGGGATTAAAGGGGTGTACCACCAACACCTGGCTTCGAGGGCATTCTAGTAGAAGAACCCAAAGTGGCCTCACTTTCCATTCTGGCTACTGGGGACCAGAGAGGTATTGATAAGTAGTAACTCCCTGCCCCCCCCCCCACACTTATTTCAGACAGGGACTTGCTTTATAGCCATGCTGGCCTTCTTGCTTTATCATTTCAAGTACTGGAATTACAGATGTGAAGGAACACATCCAGCTGTCTGTAACTACTTCTGATACCTTAAAGGCCACATTTGCATTTGCAGACTCCAAACCTCGAGACGAGCTCTTGCAGAATGATAGCATTCAGATTGTGAAGTTGACAGAGCTGCAGAGTCTGGGAGGTAGGTCTAGACAACTCCAGATTCCTGACTAGGGGTAGAAGAACCGGAAGGTTGGTTGTATACTGGGGAGATAGGGGACTAGCAGACTGCCAAGAGCTCCATTGTTTTCTGACTTTCAGCTGGACCCCGAGTTCTCCAGTATGGAATCAAAGTTGTATTTCAGGCAGTGTACTTGCTGTGGAAGTTGATGTGCACAGACCCTGCAGCCTACATCTTCCTCCAGGTATGTGCCAGCTGCTGCCTTCTTCTGTGAGAAGCAACGTTAGCAGTTCCCTTGCTGGCCTTTTAAACATGCACAGATTGGGTTGTGGGTGGGCTTCAGTGAGGTCCTGAATTTGAGTTCCAGTCCATACACAAAAAGTACAAGTATTTAGATATATTGTATACTTCTGTGTGCATAAACTATTAAAAAAAAAAAACCAAAAAACATGAGGAGGGATGTTGCACTCATAAACATGCAGAGGCTATGGTTACCTTTACAACACCAGCTAAAGACCTAGCCTGCCAACATTCTAGCATGGATAGGGGAGTAATTCATAGGGGTGCTGTCCCTAGCTGAGGAACTGTTGGCAGTTAATGATTGTTGGGGGAGTAATTTTTCTTCCAGTGTGTATCCATCAGTAAATTGCTCAAGCTCCAGTAAGTAGTCCTACTCCTATGTTCATACAAGCAACTCTAATTAAACTCTGTCATTAAAGAGAAAAGACATGAAAATAGGAGGGGGACTAGTTGGGAAGGAAAAAAAGTATAGAGGGATTATCGAAAGATGGGGAGAGGCTAAGAAAGGTGGGGGGGTAGTGATCAAAATACATTATATATAGTCATAAAATTGTCAAATAATAAATACAGTAATATTAAAAAATAAATAAGCATGAGTGTAGGCTCAGTATTTAAATTGCTTGCAGGTTTAGTTCCCAGCATCTACAATAGTGGCTTACAATTGTCTGTAACTCAAGTTCTAGGGGATCCAATACCCTCTTCTGGCCTCTGCAGGCACTAGGCACACATGTGGGATACATACATACATGTAGGCAACCACTTACATAATAAAAATAAATATTAAAACCCAAAAACTTGAGTAGGAGTTTATAGTGTGTTTTTGTTGCATGTGTAGTACCCATTGGTGTCTTGATGTATTGCCTCTTTTAATGCTCTCAAGAGCCCTGTGGTATAGCTTCTTACTGTATAATTTAGAGATTCGGAGACCTAAACATAAAGAAGTCCTGTAAGTAACTTTCTATTGTAGAGCTAGAAAGTGACAGTCAGGGTTTGAGCCTACATAGTTAAGTGTTTAACTTCTCCTCATTGGTTTTTTTTTTTTAAATATTTATTTGTATTTTATGTACATTGGTGTTTTACCTGTGCGAAGTTGTCAGATCCCTTGGAACAGTAGTTATAGACAGTTGTAAACTGCCACGTGGATGCTGGGAATTAAACCCAGGTCCCCTGGAAGAGCAGCCAGTGCTCTTAATTGCTGAGCCATCTTTCCAGCCCTGTGTGGGGAGGAGTTTGGGGATATATACTGAAGCATACCTGTAGAAGTTGGGGGGACAGTTTTATGGAATTGGTTCTCTTCTTCCTATATGTGGGTTCTGGCCATAGAATTCAGCTTGCCAATTTATATCAAGCTTCTTTACCTGCTGAGCTATCTCTTCACTTGGTGCCCCCCCCCCCCAAGCATCCGTTTTAATGTCCAGAAGTAGCTTTTCTTAATGGTTTTTGCTTATAGTATATCCATATGTCAATCACTGTAAATTATGTAGTCCTATCTGACCAGAGTTCCTCTTTGTTTATTTACTTGTGTGTATGTGTGTGGTTCATGTGTGGAGGTCAGAGAACAACATGTGGGAGTCAGTTCTGTTCTGCCACACAGGAACTGGGAATTGAAACAGGCTTGGTGGCAGGTACTATTAATTGTTGCCATTCTCCACCATTTTTTCCTTTTGAGTTGTGTCTTGGTATGTAACCCTTGCTTGGTAATCACTATATAGAATGGTCTTGAAGTCATATAGCAATACTCCTGCCTTAGCCTCCCAAGTGCTGGGATTGCAGACACATACTACCATGTCTGGCTTCTCATTTTCTCCTTCCTTTCTTTTTCTTTTCTTCTTCTTCTTCTTCTTTTTTTTTTTTTTTTTTTTTTTTTTTTCCTATGTAGCCATGGCTATTCTGGGACTCATTATGTAGACCAAGCTGGCCTACCTCTGTCTCTTGAATGTTGGAATTAAAGATGTGCACCACTACACTTTGCCTTCCTATTCTTTTTTTTTTTAACATTTACATATGACTCATATAAGAGTATAGGGTATATACATCTGTGACTCACATCCAGTTAATTTCTTAGGAGAAATTCTTAGCAGTAGAATTGCTTTGTCAGGAATTCCTGCATGTTTAAATGTTTAACATGTGGTGTGTGGCCTGATGGCTGTAGAGTGAGTCTGGGCCTTTGGGTGTTTGTCTTCTAAGTTCTCTAATATCTGTTGCTGATTGGCTTTTTTAGAGCTTGCATTTTGATGACAAACACTAAATAACAACAGTTTTTTTGCATTCTTACTTCTTAGTTTTTATTTTATCTTGGTGTGCACACGTGTGCATGCATGTTCATGCAGGCTTGAGTGTGTATATGCCTCTGTGTATTCCAGGCTAGCTTGCCTATGACCTTCCATGGTATCTTCAGTCTTCCATCTCCTGCCTTGTTGGAGGAATCCTGGGGTTATTGTGAGATGCCATGCCCAGCTTTATATGGATGAGGTCTGGGGTAAATGCAGGTCCTCAGGCTTATGTGGAAAATTCTTTACCTACTGAGCCACCTCCTTAACTCAGGTGCTCTTGATTGTTGATGATTTGGGGGTTTTCAGATTGGGCAGTTTTGTTTTTTTCCTTGATGGTGAAGAGGGTCTTCCTTCTGCCCATTGGCTGATGCAATAGGCACGGCCTCTTTGTTCTTTGCTGTGTGGTACTCCTCTTCAGTAAGGCTACATGGACTATGGTCTATGTTTTCTCCACTGCCTCCAAGTCTCTCTTTCCTAGAACCCACCAGGCCTGCCTGCCATTGCTGTATGCTGGTTTGTGGGCTGCATTTGTGGGAGCAAACTGGTCATCGACTGGCACAACTATGGCTATTCCATCATGGGCTTGGTACATGGTCCCCGGCATCCCATTGTGCTGCTGGCTAAATGGTGAGAGGGTGTGGGTGGCTCTCCCTGAGTCCTCATTAGAGTGGGTGGAAGAGAAGGGCCCCAGGGGGAGCAGGCTGGATCTGGAGCAGGGTTCTTGGTTCTCCTCTGACCCTGGTTACCCTGTCTCATTGTGTGCTTCCAATTCTGGGGATCAGCTAGCCATGCCCTTTCCCTCTCCTGGGACTAATGTTCATTGTTGACCAGCCCAGGCAGTTTCTGACGGTCACACAGCACTAGCTTCATGCTAGGTGCCAGGCCAGGTCTCCATTACCCCTGGATATGGTATAAGTTAGAAGAGTGGATTGAGAGTGATGTTATCTCTTGCTACCCAGGAAGTAAGTCAGGAATCAGCCCCAGGGAGCTCCATTCCAGAGCCTTCTCCATATCTGGAGGGAAGAAACAGCTGCAGTAGGTACTATGGTGGTAGCTAATGATCTTTCTCACTCTGTTGCCCACTTTGGCTTTGAGTTCTTTTTGGTCCTCTTGCCTCAGTTGCTTATACTCTGGGATTATAGGCATGATCCACCATACCCAATTTAGTAATCCTTTTTTTTTCCTCACTGAAGTAGGGTTTCTCTGTGTCCTGGAACTCCCTTTGTAGACAAGGCTGGCCTTGAACTCAGATCTGCCTGCCTCTTCTTCCTGAGTGCTGAGGTTAACGACTTGTGACACCACACCCAGCTGGTAATCCTACTTGTATGTATTTTTTTGTAATTCATTTTTTTCCCGATTTTATTTTTAAAAACTTTTATATATGGATATTTTTTCCTAAATGTTTGTCAGTGTACCATGTGTTTGTCTGGTACCTGTGGAGGCCAGAAGAGGGCATCAGATCCCCAGTTGTTAGCTGCCATGTGGATGCAGACAACTGAACCCTGGTCCTCTGGAAGTGCCATCTGGCCCCTAAATTTGATTTTTGATTATCATTTATTGGAGGCTGGCCTTGATCTACTCAAGTGCTGGGATTTCAGGTGTGCACTGGTGATGTGCTGGAGATGGAATCCAGGACTCTGATGGCTTATGGGCAAGCACTCTACCAACTGAGCTACCTCCTTAGTCATTCATATGCATTTGAAACAGTATGTATCCCAGGCTGACCTCAGACTCTCTGTGTATCACAGAATGAACTTGAACTTCTGATCCTCCTGCCTTTTCTCCTGAGTGTTTAGATAGGTGTGCACCACTATGCCCTATGTTTGTAGCACTCGAAGTAGAACCAGGGCCTTGAGCTTGCCAGGTGAGCACTCTGCCAGCTGAGCCACATTCCCAACCTGCAGCTTAGTAACCCTGACTTCCTCTTCCTCATTCTCTTGGGACAAAACCTCAACTCCCTTCACACCACAGTGAGAGAGCTGCAGCCCTGCTGGTCCAGGACTGCTGAGACTTGGTTAAGTAGCCATCACCTGATTTCTCCTCTATTGCATGAGGCTGGATTTGTGGAGAGTGTTTCCTTTTAAATAACTGCGTAAGCTGAACAGTGACAGGGAAGGAAGGTGTGAAAAAGTAGCTGCTGGGCATCAGTTTTGTACAACTTTAGTCCCAGCACTTGGGAGGCAGAGGCAGGCAGATCTCTTGAGTTCAAGGCCAGCCTGGTCTATAGAGTGAGTGCCAGGACAGGCTCCAAAGCTACACACAGAAACCCTGTCTTGAAAAACAAAAACAAACAAAAAAAGTAGCTGTACGGGGAGCTCATGTCACTTCCTGGCAGGCTCAAGGGCCCTAGTTCTGCAGCCTTTCCACCACCCATAAGATCAGGTCATATGGAGGTTGGGGGTGGCATCTAGGCTTATCCCACGCTCCATGCTGATCCCCAAGGCATCTTCGTAGGTATGAGAAGTTCTTTGGGCGCCTGTCCCACCTGAACCTGTGTGTGACCAATGCCATGCAGGAGGACCTGGCAGAGAACTGGCATATCAGGTATGTAGGGCCTGGGATGCTCATCAACCCATGTGTTTTAAGGGCTGCAGCACCTACCCTATTGTTTTGAAGTATGCAGGCCCTAGGAGATAATAGTTCCTTGTTTGAGAAGTTAAGGGAGGAGGCAGTAGGCTTTCTTTCCCTTCTAGCCATGTGGCCTAGGACATTTTGGTCCTAAATATCTGCACTGTTCTAAGTAATCCTGAATGATCTTGTCTCTGGGATTCCCTGAGCTCCCTTGCTTTTGGGGATCCTGCTGTGTCCTGTTGCTTAGATTTTTCTCTGCCCACTCCCATCTCACATCAGAGCTGTGACTGTCTACGACAAGCCAGCATCTTTCTTTAAGGAGACACCCCTGAACCTGCAGCATGAGCTCTTCATGAAGCTGAGCCGCATGTACTCCCCTTTCCAGAGCTGGTATGTCTCCCTTCCCTCTGCAGACCTGTGGGTCCCTTAGCCAGGGGCGGCAAGCAAACACTGTGGCCTGCTACCTATTGCTGTAGATAAGGTTTTACTGGAACAGTCCACCCATTCACCTGTGTTGACAGTGGCTGCTAGAAGCCTAGTGTGGTGATGAATGTCTGTAATCCTAGCACTGGGGAGGCTAAGGCAGGAGGATTGTGGGCTGGCCTGGGCTACATAGCAAGCCTTTACCTTACCTTAAAAACAGTGTTCCTCCCAAACTGCAGCAGTGGAACTAGGTTTCACAAGTCTGAAGCATCTACTCTCCAGCCCTTTAAAAAACAGCCTGCTGAGCCCTATGTTACCTCATCTTGCTGCCAGTGTCCTCTTGGTGTCACACTGGGGAGAGAAGGCACCTGTTATAGTTCTGCCCATGTCCTGTGAGTGCTCCTAGGAACCAGGCATGGCTGCTGGGAGGCGGGTCAGGTCCTCCTCACTGGGATGCTGAGTGCTCCTAGGAACCAGGCATGGCTGCTGGGAGGCGGGTCAGGTCCTCCTCACTGGGATGCTGAGTGCTCCTAGGAACCAGGCATGGCTGCTGGGAGGCGGGTCAGGTCCTCCTCACTGGGATGCTGAGTGCTCCTAGGAACCAGGCATGGCTGCTGGGAGGCGGGTCAGGTCCTCCTCACTGGGATGCTGAGTGGGTTGAATAGGGAGCCTGTGGAGGTGGAACTGAGTGGTGGAGTAGATGCTGTTCCAGTAACCTCAGTGCCAACAACCAGTATCTGTAAAGTCAGTGGGGTGCCAAATGGCGGGGGCTGGGAACTGCCTGTGGCTCTGTTCTTGTGCCAGTGTCTGGTCTCACTTCTTTCCTTGGATTCTTCAGCTCAGAGCCCCTGGATCCCAGCATGGAGAGGTCGGCCTTCACTGAGAGGGACTGTCAGAGCGGGATGGTGAAGAGTCTACATGGGCGGCCAGCACTGCTTGTGAGCAGCACTAGCTGGACAGGTCTGCCTCCCTCAGCACCTGGGGTGTGTGCACAGCTTATCTTTGGATCCAGGGATGGCTGTATGAGTCGGGTGGGAAGTTTGGGATACAGCCTATGATCCCTCTCCCTTCTCTCCCTATAGAGGACGAGGACTTCTCCATCCTGCTGGGAGCATTAGAAAGTAAGTGTATGGCCGCATTAGCAGCTTGGAGCTTGTGAGGGGCTGCTACTAGGCACTTACCTGGCCTTTTGTGGCAGCCTGTCATGTACTATACCCCTGGTGTCATGGGTGGGCTAGCTTGAGACAGTAGGGGAGGGCATGGGAAGCTTACTGCCCTTACATGGTCATTGGGTGGCTAGACACTCAGTCTGAACATTTTTTGAGACTAGCAGCCCCCTGGGGAGCAGCGTCCCCACTATACTTATAATCTTATCTTCTCTTGGTTGGTGTCTTTTTTAAAAACAGAGTTTGAACAACTAACATTAAGTGGAGACAACCTTCCTTCCCTAGTCTGTGTGATAACAGGTACTGATGGGAACACCATGTTATATTTGTTTAGAAGGGTGGAGGGTGGCAGAAGAATGGGCATATGGCCTTTATAGAGCACCTCTGTAGAGCACCATCTCACTAGTTGCCTCCTCAGTTTTCCAGGGCAATTTCTCCCTTTCTCTCCAAGACCTTGCCCAAGCTAGGCAAGTGCTCTACCACAAAGCTACATGTCTAGCTGTCTTTTATCTTTCTGTGTGTAGAGAGAGGGTCTTACAGGTTATCCAGGCTGGCCCTGAACCCACTGTGTTGTTCAGGTAGGCCTTGAAATGCTAACCTGCCTTAGCCTCCCAAGTAGCTGGACAGGCCTGTGTCACCAGGTCCTTGGGGTATTGTTTCTACATTCACTTGATAAATAGGGAACCTGAGGCCCAGAAAGGACTCAAGAATTCAGATTTCAATCTGGATGGTACTACTTAGGCTACACTCTCCCTTTTCCCAGTGCATTTCCAGCCTTTCTAGTTTAGAAGCACTCAGGGTTATCCAGCCAGTTTTTCTGCTCTCTCCCAGCCAGTTTCCTAGGGGTACCTGGCATGCTGAGTCCCTGTGTCACTCAGTGCAGGTGGAGATTCTGTGTCCATATGCTGGCACCCTAGTATTTATCTTAGATTCCTTTGCAACCTGAAGCCCTATGCCAGCTGGCTGAGGTATACTTAGTGTCTTAGCCATGGGATGTCAGTCTGATGGGGCCACTGGTGGATGTGGTCAGGGGAAAGGGTTATCAAGTGCCAACTGGAGCATCAGGACCTGCCCAGTGGCAGTGATGGAGAGTGACAATGTAGGTGACTTTTCTTCTCTATGAAGGGAAGGGGCCTCTCAGGGAGCACTACCGCCATCTCATCAGCCAGAAGCATTTCCAGCATGTCCAGTTCTGTACCCCATGGCTGGAGGCTGAGGACTACCCGCTGCTTCTAGGTGAGAGGGCAGGCTTTGGGGGACAGAGGGCCATACTACACTATCCCACAAGGGCAGACAGGGAAGATGTTTCCAGCCTCTTTTTTTACCCTGTAATCTTTGAGACAGGATCTTTGTAGCCTGAGTTTGCTACTCAGGGTAGCCCTGAGTTTGCAGTAGAGCCTCATGCTCTGCCCCAAGTACTGGGATTATAGGTGTATCCCACTGTGCCTGGGTTTTGTTGTTTTGTTCGTTTGCTTTTTTTTTGAGACAGGGCTTCCCTGTGTAGCCTTAGCTGTCCTGTGTCCTGGAACTTGGTCTGTAGGCCTGGCTAGACTTGAACTCAGAGAATACCTGCCTCTGCCTTCCAAGTGCTGGGATTAAAGGTGTGTGTCACCACCGCCCAGCTTTTTTCAGCTTTTTTCAGCTTTTTTTTTTTTTTTTAAGATTTCACCTTGAACTTTTGCAGTGGTTTTGTCCCAGCCTCCCTGCTGCTGGGTTTACAGGTGTACTCCATCACATCTAGCTGATAGCTGTGTGGATAGGTGTGGATTTGGTTTTATTTTATTTGATTTGGGTTTTTTTTTTTTTTTTTTTTTTTTTTTAATTTTTGTTTCAGGTTCTTATTTTTTGAGACACTGTCTCTGGACCAGGCTAGCCTTGAGCTTGAGACATCCAGCTGCCTCTGCTTCCCAAATGCTGGAATTAAAGGCATGTATCACCACGTGTAACATACCCCACATTTATCTTGAGATTTTTTTTTTTTAAATTATTTTGGCAAAATACATATAATAAAAGTTGCCACTATATCTAATCATTCATTTATTTATTGTGGGGTGGGGATGGGTGGTTATGAGGGATAACACACTTGTGCCATGGCAAATATGTGGCAATCAAGAGGACAATTTAGAGAAGTTGGCTCTGTCCTACTATGGGGTTCAGGGAAGGAACTCAGTTTGTCAGGCTGGCAGCAAGCATCTTAACCTGCTAAGTCAAGCCAGCCACCACTAGTCATTTTTAAGTGGTTACTCAGTAGTGTTATTGACAAAGCTGAGTGAACCACAACTGTAGACAGAAATTCTGCTGATCATAGTGACTGCCTGGGAATTTTCTCTTTGAAACTGAATTATGGCTGAGTAGAAACAATGAATCAATATAATAAAAACAAATTTTAATCATTAGGCAGTGTGAGACAGGACCCAGGGGTCAATCATGTTTTTGCCTCTGGTCAGGCTGCCTGGCTCCTTGGTCAGCTTATGCTATTTGTCTTTGGGGACAGTCTCACAGGTACAGCTTCTGATTTCCACTCCTTGTCTAGGGGTTGGCATATAGACTTGGGAAAATGTGTCCTAGTGTTCTGTCTCTGCAGGGTCAGCGGACCTGGGTGTCTGTCTACATATGTCCTCCAGTGGTCTGGACCTGCCCATGAAGGTGGTGGACATGTTTGGGTGCTGTTTGCCTGTGTGTGCCGTGAACTTCAAGTGGTAGGAGCAGATACTAACCCTTACCTGGGGCATATTCTAGATCAGCAGCTGGGGGCCCTGTCCTGTCCTGTGGCTAGTGAAGGATAGTCAGCTTGGTGCATCCACACCATGCCAGTCACCCAGATGCAAAATGTAGTTCAGATGTTGGAAATAGTATTACATGCCTGCAGTCTGGAGGCAGAGGCAAGAGGATTCCTGAGCTTGAAGCCAGCCTGTGCTTCACAATGAATTCCTGTCTCAGGAAAACTGTAGCAAGGTGTATGTTGATTGGGTCTGTATCAACATTGAGCTTCTTTACCTTTGTTCCATTGCTGGGATGATAGAAGTCATCTAAAGAGGATGTGAAACATAGAGCAGGGTTCATGTGGATTGTATGCAAAGCAGTTTACATAAGGGACTTGAGCATCTGTGGCTATAAGAGGGCCCCAGGAATGAGTCCTGCACATACTGGCACAGGGGCATGGCTGGAGTGTGTTCATGGTTAGCATTCTACCCAGGCTCATATTGTGAGAAGGGAATGGTGGCCAGAGCTGTCTGCAGTCAACTGGATTTATATCTCTCTGTCCTGTGGTTCATCTCTCATAGTTGGATGGGATGTGGGCACGGAGGCTGGAGCTTGTTAGCTAGGGACCAGCCTCTGGGTGGAGAGTTCAGGATGTGAGCCAAGCTCAGGGTTTGTCAGGATCAAATCTACCAGTGACTCTGAAAAGCTGCCCTTAGAGTATAGAGCTGGGACCCTTAGCTCTCAGGCTGGAGTGGAGAAAAAACACATCTTGGCACAAAGGTCACCTCTTCTCTAAAATAAGCCTGGTATTTTGACATGTGCTCTTGTAGGCTTTTCTGTCCAAATACTCCATCTTAGAACACTGAGGCCAACCTGCCATTCTTGATACTGGCTTCACTTGAGGGAGTAGTGGTAGCCCAGTTGTGTTCCCTTTCTTTTCCCTTGTTCTCTCTGCAGTTTGCATGAGCTTGTAAGACATGGAGAGAACGGCCTGGTCTTCAAGGATGCGGAGGAGCTGGCAGCACAGCTGCAGGTAGTGGGCCTACTCCCTATGGGGCTTGGTGGTTTGAAACCTGGCATTGAGCCAGCCTGATCTCAGCTTCCCACACAAAGACAGATGTAGTGGGACTCTGGGATGTAGAGAGGTGAGGAGGAAACAGAGGCCTTCAAGATGGCCTCTCAGCCTGGGCCGCTGGTTGTCATTCACAATGCCAGGGGCAAGAAGAGCCAGGCACAGACATATACTCCTGCCTCCTATGTATGAAGATGGGTGCTCTGTTGCCCTTTAGGGAGAGTGGGGGCCAAGAGAGCTTCTGTAGAAGGTATATTTGTCCTTATTAAACTAATGTACTCTCATTCTGATAAGGGACTTAAGTTCGTGTGAGAACTCTGCAACTCCATCCTGGTGTGGATGGAAATGCAGCTGTGGACATGTGTAGATAGGCTGGTTCCAGTAAAACCTTATTTACAAAGCCAGATGGGCAGGATCTAGCCTGAAGGCTGCAGTTTCTTGGTCCCTGATAGACACATCAAAGGCAGAGCTGTCATAGCCTCCATCTTAACTGCACCTGCGTTGGGGATGGGAGAGGGGAAGAGGGCAGCAGGTGGAAGCTGGCTGTTCTCCAGGGCAGGGCTGTGGGTAAACAGATTGATCCCTCAAGTATCAAGTGAAGGGAAGGGCACTGCTGAACATGAGCAAGAATGATCTGGCATGGGGTAGAGTAGGCAGGGAGCTGAGTTCCAGTCTTCCTTTTCCTGTAGATGCTTTTCTCAAAGTTTCCTGACCCTGCTGGAAAGCTAAACCAGTTCCGGAAGGAACTCCGGGAGTCGGAGCAACTGCGGTGGGACGAGAGCTGGCAGCAGACTGTACTCCCTTTAGTCACTCAGAAATGACCTCCAAACCAGAGGCTAGGGCCCTACCCCTCAGGGTGTGGAGCTAGGTCCTTCCCAGCCACTTTGTCCCCGGTGGGCCTTTGAGTACCCTCTAGTACTCAACATCTGCGAAACGGATTGTCTGGCAGCTGCTTCAGTGTCTCTGAGAGGCTCTTCTCTTTGGTGACCCTGTCAACCTCTCAGTCCCTGGACTCTCACATTCCTTGTATTCTGATTCTATTGGACTGCCATGAATTCTGGGACATCGTGTGTTCAGCAAGGCCTGAACAGTCATACTTGATAAATTCATGTTTTTATTAGTACAATGGAAATGCTTGCTCTGAGCCTGTGTCTACTCCAGATGAAGACAGGCACCAGCACTCAAAGCCTGTGCTTACTGTACCTTTGTGGTTTGTTATTTAACAGTCCTGCCCAACAAAAGCCTTTTCAGCTTTCCTGTGGACTCTTCCCATGACAGTGATCTCATTTTCCAATCACCTTCAAACGCTGTGGCAACCGTTCAGCACGAGCTTCAGGATTACGATGGCTGAATACTCTTCGTAAGGGAACAGTTTGCTGGCGTGAGGAGGCACCTCTTCCCAGTAGATCCCTGTTCGGTCTAGACAGAGTACAGAGATCTCAGGAGGGCAGTGTTGGGGACAGGAAGCCAATCTATTGGTGCAGGGCTATTGACACAGTTGTGAACCCAAGCTGATTTACTTGGGCCACATGTTTCCAGACCCATGCAGATGCCCTAAAGATCTCTGTGTGTGGGCATGCTCAGTCTAAAGGAGGATGCTCTACCATTTTCCACCTTATTCCCTCAAGCCCCAGCAAACCTCCTGTCCCTACCCCCAACAGTACTAGTGTTACAAGTGATGTGACCACAACCTGACTTTTTTATTTGTTTTTCAAGACAGGGTTTAGAAACCCCTCCTAATACCCTGTACTGCTCTGCATCTGGCTACCCCATTGGCACAGGCAGAGAGTAGCAAAGATCCAAATGCAGCTGCCTGGTATCATAGGGCTTGTAAGGACTGTGGGCCAACATGGTCTCTTAACTACATTTTAAGTAAAGCTAGTAATTTAAAGAACAGAGCAGCACAGGCATAAAAGTATACGAGGTCCTATAATCCCAACATCTGAGTACAACAAACACAAGCTGGCACTCTACAAATTCCTCCTACCTCTGGTTTTTAAAAAAAGTCATACAGCTGGAATCCAGCTTTGCACATAGTAGGAAGTATTTTACTAAGTACCCTATTCCCCATAAAGATAGTTATTGAAATCAGGAACAGGCTGACTACTCTGTGGTATTTGTCTGTCTTAGGGAAGACAGACTGCAAGCACTGTGTGTGTGTGTAGGCATCCAAAGGGCATTCAGGGCACTCAGTGCTCTAAGTGGGTTCTGGGAGCTTGTTTGCTGTATGTGGAATCAGGGGGAGTCTGTCAGTCTGTCCACAGATGCTGTGGTGGGTGAGTGTGGACAGCTTTGACATGAGTGCTGTAGTGAGATGGGATGATAGGACAGCCATCCCAGGTGCTGATGACTCAGGTGAGTCAGACTGGAGGACAAGGCTCATGGTATTGCCTTATCCCTTTCCTGAAATTGCCCCTAGCTTCTAGTTGCAGAGTTCTCAAAAGTCTGCCAGCTGCTCATTGCTTCTGCAGGTTGGCCTGTGCCTCAGGTGAATGTCTCCACAGAACACACAAGTATGGATGCTGAGGAGCAAGCCCAATGTCAGCCCAGTTTTTAAACCCTCCTAGGGACAGATCCTACAGGTTGGGAACTGACCCAGCTCTTTGATGAACAGCTTGCCGGTGTCTTGGTTGCGAATGGTATAGGCCACGTAGACATCAGGAGCATTGTTCCTCTGGCAGTGGCTGAGCATCTTCAGGACCCTGACCAGTGACAGTGTCACTTCCCCACAGTATAGCACATCTACAAAATGGAAAGGCTGTTACTGAAAGGGCCTCCTATTAGGATCCACATCCAGAGCAAGGGTGTGGGACTGGGCTGACTTTGCACGGGATAAGACCCATGGTGTTGAAAGGTGGTGTTAAGACTTGTGCTGTTCCATAGGAAGATGCCTTGGATGAAAGGAAGTGAGTCTAAAAGCCTCTACAGTGGAGGTTCCCCTTCCCCTGGCAACATCAGTTCTGTGCCCCTTGCTCGTTTGCTTAGTGAGCAGGTCCTAACCTGGTTTTGGGCTTTTTGGGGAGACTTAGTGTCAGCTGCAATGTGGGATTTGCTTTCTGGTGACCTCTGCTGTGCTAGGGGAGGAAGGATGTTTGGTGGTCCAGGCAAACAATGCTTTCTCTCAAAGATTCCATGCTCTTTTGTCATCTCTGAAAGACAGGACAGGGATCTGGGATCCAGATGTACTGGTGAGGATAGCTAAGGCCACATGGCGTAGTGATGATAATGAATCCTTGGCATATCTGCATGGAGCCAGCATAGACTATGGCAGGGCCACTAAACTGTTCCCTGAACTGGCCTCTGTCACTCCATTGAAACATGACCCAGGATGGTGCTACCGACATGGGGAGGTTGGATGTGGGCCTGGGAGAACCACAGGCTGTATGGCCAGTCTGCCTCACCTAAAGATGCACAGTGGCTGTTTATCACCAGCAGTGGAAGGCACAGTCTTGGTGTGGTGGGTAGGATTGCTCTTGTGTTCATTATAGGACCAGGGAGGGAAATAGGTGGCCTTGGGCAAGGTACTCTAGGCCAGGCTAGTGTGCTGCCCTGGCACCTGTCCTGCTCATTTTAAGATTTCTGGGGATGGCTGTTCATGCCACAGCAATGAGAGCATCTGTCTCCACATCTGGGGCTCTGGACCTGGGACTTGGCAGCCTAGGGTGTCTCTCTGGGGCCCTGCTTGTCCCTGTCTGCAGTGCCCATTACTTCTTTCTGCCTGAGTGAGTGTTGCTGCTGGGGCATCATTACCTGCTGCAATAACAACATCTGCCTGGAAGGCAGAGAGCTGAGAAGTTGTCACTTTGTCCCAGTCCAGCTCGGCCACTGTCACCTTTGGGCCGCTTGGGTCAATGGGAGTGTGCATATCTAAGGGGAAGCCGTTGAGGAGCACATTTCCACGGAGCTGCTCAAGCACTTGACCATGACAGTCACTGAAGATGAATGCTCTGGGGCAGCATGCCTTGCAAATGGCCAGACCTGTGAGGCCAGCTCCACTGCCTAGCTCCAGGACAGTCCTGAGTGGGAGAAAGGGACCTTTGTTCACAAATACACCAGTGCAATCTACCTTTGTCCCCTGTCCTGTGCCCCTAGATCACCTGTCAGTGAAGGCTGCAGGGTTCTCGATGGCCCACTCTGCCAGGTAGAGTGCAGCATCCCATGTAACCAAGCCCGTGGTGCCATGGGACACAATGGCTGTGCTCTCAGAGAGTGTGACTGAGTCTCCTGAAGGCTGCAGAGACAGGAAGGAGGGTGAACAAAGCTATCAGAGTATTAATGGAGGGTTCTAAACCATAGCAACTGAGTGGCTGGGCAGAATATGTGTATCCTGGAATGTAATCAACAATGAAAAGAACAAACTTATTACACTTAGAAATATGGGTGATCTCAAGGGTACTGTGCTAAGTGAAAGGAGCCAATGTAAGTCCCATGCTGTGTGATCCCTTTATCTAAAACTTTTCAAATGACCCAATCACAGACAAGAGCGTGTGGGGTGGGGTGAGGGTAGGCACAACACAGTAACATGCATGTCTCATACCAGTAAGTAGCTCCGGTGGCACTGGGTGGACTCTTCGGCCATCAGAACTTCTGCCAGTGCCTCGTACAGTGCATCCAAAGGCTCTGTGGGCACAGCTTCATGCTGGAAACAGACAGTGAGCTTTAACTGAGAGCTCACTGACCCCCGTAAATAACCATTCTGTCACTTCTGTCTGCTCTGTGAATGGTGCTAGAGATGGAACCCAGGACCTTGTGCATGCTGGGCTGGTATGTTGCAACCTGATTTCTTTTTTTTTTCTTTTCTTTCTTTCTTTCTTTTTTTTTTTTTTTTTTTTTTTTTTGCCATATTTAGAGGGGAAATTTTGGAGTGGGAAGTAAGCTAGCATATGAACAACATAGAATTAAAATGAACAAAATAAAAAGTGCATTGGTGGGGTGCCTCAAGGAGAGGTGTGGAGAGGGTTAGAGCAGGCAGAGTCCAGGAGAAAGCCACATTACTTAGAAGTGCTACTGTCTTTAGATGATGTGTTCAAGTGAGCCCTAGGCTCACAGTGCAGCTTCCAAGCTGCCTTTCAGTGGCATTGAGGCACAGCTTCACCTGGCCTGTTTCTCCTGGTGCTGCCAGGGCCTAAAGAGGCACTGGGGTAGGGAGGCCTGGGGCTAGGGTAGTGCAGAAGATCACAGCTGGGCTGAGCCTCTTGAGCAGCTGCTGTCTTCAGGGGCTGACTGAAGCTAGCCTGCTACTGCTTTCCCTGGCTGTCTGTCTAGAGAGGCATGGAGCAGCAGGTCTGGACCTGTCCTCCAAAGGTGTCTTGAGAGGTTGAGAAGACTTTATGTAAACTCCAGCAGGGGTGGGTGAGCCAACCAGGAAATGGCTGTGGGGGAGGAGGCAGTATCCTTCATTCAGTGGCAGGGGTGTCAGACGGTAGGAAGGAGAACTAGAGTCTAGGAGGAGATGAAGCTGCTGCTGAGAGCCCTCTCTTACCCTGTCCCAGGCTGTCCTCCCATCATACCCCACCAGCAGCCTCCTGCCCCAGGAGCTTACAGAGCAAGCTAAGGCAGGGAGCTGGGGCTACTGGAACCTGGCAGAGCTCTGGACCCTTGTGATCCCCTATGTGGCCTGGCCCCAGCAGCTTCAGCCCATCATTGACCTTTTTGATGAGCTTTGAGAGGAAGCAGCGGGCGTACTTCACAGATGGCAGGTGCTGTACACACACAGGGTGCTTCACGGTCTAGACAACAAAAGACAAGAAGTTGATTGCTACAGGGACCTGCCTTTAGTGTCCTAGAAGCGTCACATGATCGGAGGGAGCCTGATGTTCCAGCAAAAATGTGCAGGGACAATGGGGGTATGTGCCCTGGACATCTGCAAGACAGTCTTTTCTTGAGATGGTCTTACTATATAGCTCAGACTGGCCTCAAATTTGCAATCCTCCTGCCTTAGGATTATGGGTATATGCTGCTAATCCCAATTTAAGGTTGAGTTTCAACAACTTTCCTTACATTTTCACATATGGCATAGCTCTGGGCAGGAACCTGAGTTCACAGGCCCTTTCCTGTCCATCTGGGGTGGCAGGTAGGAATGATACTAGTCTGCTGTAAGGGCAAAAGTGGGGTATCTGGCTTCATGGAGGAGGTGAGAGCCCAGTGGCAGGAACCAGACCCACCAGATGCCTGTCCTCCTGGCTATGAGGCCTAGGCAGTGGGGAGGGTTGGAGATGGGAGCTGAGCGGGCAAATATGGTAGAGCAAAGGCTCAGCCCAGAAGGAATTAATGACACAGTGGAAGTCTCAAGGGGTCAGAAGCAAGGTCCCCAGCCAGAGAGCAGTGTGGGGTAGCTCCCAGATGCCTCTGGCCTGAAAGTTCTGAAAGGAGGTCAAATGACCAGCAGGAAGCAGATGGGAATGGGCATGGGGGGAGGAATAGCTTGCTGCTTTGGGAGGGCCAAAAGATCCCCTTAAGTATGCCAGAGCTTCCTACTGATGGTTCATTGATGGACAACACCATGGGATCTTAAAGCAGAATTCTCTAACTTGTGTTGGGTTACCCATGGAATACTGTAAGACAGCCTGGCTGCTTCCTCCTTCCTTTTCCCCTTTATCTTCCTGGTAACAGGATCTCCCAGTATAGTTCAGGCTGACTTTGAATTCCTGGCCTATGCCAGGGTGAGTTTGTGTGTAAACATACTCCTCTGGTGATTCCCTTTGGTCAGGACCCTCAAGAAGGTCAAGGCCCATGGTGGTGTGACCTGCCTTTGATTCAGGAGGCCTCTACCCACAGGCACATGCACTGCCAAGACCAAACCCTATCTGTGCCTCTGATACTGAACTTTCATATTTTTGCCTTAAATACAAAGAACATTTCAAAGCATCTAACAAATGCCAGAAGCAGTCACCAGTCACTTGTTGTCCCTGTGGATCAAGACTTCCCAAGGTGGGTGGGGTGGGAGATGGCTCAGTGGTTGAGAGCACTGGATGCTCACTTTTCCAAGGGACCCAGGTTTGATTCCCAGTATCCACACGGTGGCTCACAACTGTCTTTAACTCCAGTCCCTGGGGACCTGACACCCTTTTCTGGCCCTCGAGAACACTATGCATGTGTTTCATAGATATACATGTAGGCAAACACCCACACACAAATTAAAAAAAAAAAAAAAAAAACTCAGAAGTTAAAACCATCTTTAAAAAAATGGCATAGTAACACTCCACAAAGATAGTCTTAAAAAATAAAAAGACACCCCCTAGCTCCCCTTACTTTGTGCAGTCATCTACTTGAATATCTTCATTCATTAAAACCAAACAGCCAGAGCTGTGTGAGGTGCTGACGCCCATGGGCATGTCAACACTAGTGCTGTTTCTTTATTGTTTGGACACTTGGAGTGAGCCTTGTCTCGCTGTCTGGGGATCCTAGGGCTCTTACCTTTTGCAGAATAGCCAGCAGCAGCTCAGAACCCGAGGGCTCCCTTAATTTCTCTTCTAGGCTCTGTTCCGAGAGACAGAAAGAGATAAATCCTAGGGGGCATTTTCTCAGCAGCATTACACTCCTGTGGAATATTCTGGTAAAGAGCATTAGTAATCTCTACCCAGGGACTTGGAACCAATCTGAAGTGGAAGCCACCAGAGGTGAATTCAGCCTGATGTCACAGGCCATGTGTGGCTGACACAATAAGATTACTCCCAATTCACATCAGCTGTGGCTGTCCTGAAGTCACCTGGGTCACAGCCACTTTGAAGCTGAGCTAGAAGCTAAGAATTAGTTACAGCATAAAGGCCTGGAACCTGCCACTGAAGCTCGAATGGGGACTCATGTGTGGTGCCAAGCCCGGCCATGCCATCTTTCTCACAGGGACTCCAGCTCCAGTCAGGGCAGGGTATGAGACACACAGCAAGCCACTCAGCATTTCACTATGTTCTAACAGGTCCTCAAAACCTGCCTTGGCTGGTTTGTGACTGGTCTCACCCCACTACAGCCACACCAGCTCCTTTATGTCCTTAGTCATGGTGGCTGGCCATGTTTCTATCATAAAACCTTTGCTTTTTGTTCTTTAAGGCGATCCTATGGCTGATTGCTTCAGGGCTGGGGTAGCAGTTCAAATGCCACCTTTTTTTGGGAGGCCTTTGATGACTATTCTGTTTGCTATTCCCTTGCTTATTCTTTTGAGATAGGGTCTCACTCTGTAGCTGAGGCTGGCCTCTGACTCACAGAGATCCTCCTGCTTTAGCACCCTAAGCTGTGATTGGCTCCCACATGTGGTTTTGCCTGGTGTTTTCTGGTTACTTACAGTCTCTTGTCTGAGCAGGGCTGGTCTCTAATGTGCTCTGATATGCCCTGATGTTTAGCTCATGAACAGATGGCAGTAAAATATCTAGTGACCCAGTAACTGCTAGGCATCCTCGGTGCACCTCCACAGCCAGGTGCGAGTTGGGGTTTGTATTCAAGAACTCACACAAAGTGAGATGCAGGAGGAGCTGCCTATCTTGGTGCAAACATTGCTAAGACTGTTAAATCCACTGATAAAGCCTTTAGGTCCTTGGCATAAACATACCTATGTTCATTTCCCTATAAATAAGCAAAGGCTTGGGGGATGGAGGCAATGTGATTCCCTAATTTGGAGCTGTTGACCTCTTCCTTCCTGTCCTGGCTGCCTTAAGCAAAAGGACTATCAGTCAGACAGCTAGCAGGACTGCCCTCATATCAGCCTTAACTGTTTGAACACTCCATAAACACCTTTAGACACTACAGCTGATTCTCATGGCTCCTGAAGGCGCAGCCTCATCCATGGCTGCAGACCATCTGCTGTCAAAAGCATGGGCACACACTACATTATTCTGCACCCATTTTGTATGCAGATGGGGAGCATGCCCCCTGGTGGCCTAGTGGGAGGATGGCTGGGATGGTATTAAGGCAAGGCTGTGACTGGTTCAGACACCTACATAATCTGCTGTGGCTCAAGGAGGAAGTGGACTGCAAAGATCCCTCCTGGGAATGGTCTCCTATTTTAGTAGTGCAGGCTGTGCTGGGAACAAGGAGAAAGCAGCCACAGAGACGACAGAGCAGCAGTGGCTGTGAAAACTCAACAGTGGCTGGCAGAATTGTAAAAAACAGCCAGGCAGCTGGCCATGGTCAAGAGCTAAGGAATCCGTACATCCAGGGCCTGCACAAGAGCTGTATGTTTGTAAGGGCTGCTACCAAGGGCTAAGGAAATTTAATACCTAGGTCTGCCTCCCAGCAGACCATGCAGCCAAAATGCCCCAAGAACTCCATAAGTCCATAAAGACCAAGGAGGTCCCATATGCAAGAAACCTGCAATTGCTGTTCTTGCCTGCCTATAGCTGACACACCAGTGATGATCATGCTCTGAGCTTCTTGTCTACCTATGGCTTCTAGATGGACAAAGGAAAAGAAGCCCAGAAGTTTGGTAGCAAGAGATATTGTATCCTCCACTGTGTTACTTAGAAATGATGGCACAGCACAGATGGGTGGTGGTGGTGCATGCCTTTAATCCCAGCACTTGGGATGCAGAGGCAGAAGGATCTCTGTGAGTTCAAGGCCAGCCTGATCTTACAGAGTTCCAGGACAGGCTCCAAAACTACAGAGAAACCCTGTATTGAAAAAAAAAAAAAGAAAAGAAAAAACAAAAACCCAACCAACCAACAAACAAAAAAAGGGGGGGGGGAGGAAGAAGGGTTTGAGTTAGTATTCTTTTTGTAGACCAGGCTGGCCTTGAACTCTTTAACATCTGCTCCCGCCTGGGATTATAGGCGTGCACCACCTCCCACCACCACCCACAGAAACTGGGAAGATTTTTGGAGGAATACAAATTTACATGCTGGCGAGCACCTTGCACACGAGTTATCAGCGAGGCATGAACCAAAGGAGCCGCCTGCAGGAGCTACATGTCCCCAGACTACCAGGAGGTTCCCTTTTCCGTCTGAACTCCCTCCGAGACGGTTCTGCCTGCAGTCTGCCCTTCGGATGGGGACCTGGCCTCTTCTGCAGAAGAGTGCGGCTCGTGCCATCTGAAGATGTTTAGTTTTCAAAGCTTTTGCAGTCGCTAAGATGACCGATCATCGTCTTTAAAAGTCGCTAAAATAATCCAGCACGGCCCGTGACCCTGAAAGTTCTGCCAGAGAAGGGCCCAACCTGCCTCCCCCGGTCGGGAAGGCGGCCCAGCAAATCCCGGTGCTCGACCCCTACACCCGCCACTAGCCCGCCGCCCACCTGCCAGGGAAATGAGGGAAGCGCGCGAGCCGCCAGGAAGCGGCGCTCGAAACTCTGCAGCAGAGACGTGGCCCCCTCGTGGTCCTCAGGCGCCATCGCGGGCGGGGCCAATGTTGCCTGGAAACGAGCGGAAGAGAGACCTGAGTCTGAGGAGGCGGGGCAAAGAGGCGAGTAGCTGTGGGCGGGGCTAGTCAGGCTCCGACCCAGCAGGTGGGGCAAGGTGAGTAGGGTGGAGCAGGTGCAGAGGCGGAGAGTAAACTGTGGAGTCTGTGAGCTGCTTCGTCATGAGAGGCGGTGCTTAGGGGGAGGCCAACGCTGGCGGTCGGGGCGCGTTCTAAACATGTTCGTGGAGCTGGAGCTGGCAATCTGAAGGCGGGGCCTTCACTGGACTGAGGCGGGGCTCAGAAGGCGGCCCTTGACCAAAACTGGGGGCGGAGTCTAGAGGTTGGGCCCGAGACTGAGGCGGGGCGGGGTTTAGGGGCAGTCCTTTGGCTGACCGGGGCGGGCTCAAATCAGCCGGAGGCGGGGCTAAAGTGTTTGTCTGGCTGCAGAGGCGGATCACGGAAGTGCTCCTCACGTCCTGGGATCATTCAGCTGAGCTCCTGGCCAGCCTGTAGGCCTGGTTGTGGCCTAGTGAGGGGCGGGAGTCGGGTGGGCGAGGGCACGGCCTTGCATGCTGCAGTGGCAGCGGGTCTCACTCTCGAGTTTTGGTCCGGGGAGGCGGGGCGCAGTTCGTGCCCAACCAGGTTACCGTAATCTCTCTGATCCTGCACATAGTCTTGGTCCGCCTCTCCATGAGTACCACCCTCAGGGACCCTCAGTCTCCTGCAGCCTCTAAGCACCTACTTCTTAAGTACCTCTAGTATGATTGGCAAGACCAGGGGCTGCAACAGTGGGATAAAGCTGATGTGGTCTCTGCCTTCCAGGGCCTGGGGCCTCAAGCAGGAACATAAAATAGTAGCAATATCTGCGCTGAAGATGAGTGCACAGAATCACAGGGGCATCCCGCAGCAGTTTCATTTGATCTTGCAAGGAAAAGAATCCCAACGAAGAGTGGGAGTTAGTTGCAATGGGTGGCCGAGTTTTCAAAGTTAATGTGTCTTGCTACAGCTGAAAGGCATGACTCTGGCAAGCCACCCCTGCTGCCCGGGATTCTGTACTGTTGTTCAAATGTCTCAAAAAAACCCCATTTGGAAGCTTCCCGATCTAGCCTGTTAAATATGCTTGTAGAAGGTAGATGAGGGGGACAGATTAAGTCCTTTAGACGAGAAACCCCTGAGGCCTGTTCAGGAGAACAGAGGGGAGTTGATTTCAGTCAGGTCTGTGACACTTCAAGGAACCAGGCCAGCACAGCCTGGGTTGACTTAAATGTAGTGCTTGTTTCTGTGGGATTTTGTCTTTTCATTTTTTTTTTAACATTTATTATGTGTGTGTGTGTGTGTGTGTGTGAGAGAGAGAGAGAGAGAGAGAGAGAGAGAGAGAGAGAGTCACCATACATAAGTGAAAATCAGAGGACAGTTTGCAGGAGTTGGTTCTTTCCTTCTATTATGTGGGCTGAACAGGACAAGTGTAATGAGTAAGGTTTTTCCTCCTGCCACTGGTCTGGTCCTGCCGCCGCGCCAGCCCCAATTAACACACCGAGACTCTGTATTTGATATAATGCTGTTGGCCAGGTACTGGTTTCTTATCGGCTAGCTCTGTCTTAAGTATTAGCCCATTTCTGTCTCATCTTACCGGGGAATAGGGCAGGCATCTCCTCTCCCCAGTCTCTCCATCTTGACTCCTCCTCTTCACTACTTCCTCTTTCCTCCTTGTCTTCTAGTCCCTCCTATCTTCCTTTCCTATTGGCCAACAGTGCTTTATTCATTAACCAGTATGAGAAACATATACAGAATGACATCTCCCATCAGGCAAGTGTATCTACCCACTGAGATATCTAACTAGCCTTATTTGTTTGTTTTACAGAGTTTTGCCATGTAGACCTGGCTAGGTTTGTATTCTCTTTGTAGCCCATCTTAGCATCGAACTTGCAGTGATATTCCTGCCTCAGTTTCCAAAATGCCCAGGGCATGTGTGCCACCATGCATGTATATTTTACATGGTACACCCCTAGCTGCAGTCATCTGAGATTCTGAGGCCTCAAAAGTAGTATGGGTCTGGGTGACTGAGGAAGGCTGACTTTAGAGGTGGCTTTAGGGACACTGGCTTAACTGTGCCATTTTGATCAGCTCTGTCCCTGCAGTTGGTGATGCAAAAAAAAAAAAAAATGGGAATGGGAGAGAAATACTTGTACATTATCCATATTAGCTATTAATCACTGCTGTTACAGAGTGAAAGAGCAACAGTTGGCATCATAATAATACTGCATGATGTATTCCTAAGGTATTAGTAAACCTAGGCTACTAGGTCTAGCCTATCCTGGAGTAGACTGAGAAAAGAGCCTCTGTGGGCTACAGAGCCATCTTCTCTTGGAGTGAGACAAAAACCATGCATCTTAATTAGATCTGAATGTTGGAGGGACAAGTCACTGAAGGATCTGTGTGTGTGTGTGTGTGTGTGTGTGTGTGTGTGTGTGTGTGTGTTCACTGTTGTTCCTGTTCATCTTGGTCTTTTGAGGCAGGGCTTGTTTGTAATTGGCCTGGATCCAACAGCTCCTCTGGCTGCCCAGTGATCCCCAGGGACCTACCTGCTCCCTGAAACTTAACACTTTTGTTACAAGAGTGGATGAGTGTGGGGGATCAAATTTCAATCCTCATGTATGTAAGTCAAGCCCTTTACCAACTGAACTATTATTCAACTCACTGAAGGACTTTTAAGGACCCGGGAACCTCACAGGAGTCATGTGTTAAGGTGTAAAAGAAGGCTAAGACCCCTCTTGTCATGAAGAGTGATTCCAGATGATGTCTGGAGCAAGGTCTGGGTACCACATCTGAGTCTCCTGCCCCTTCATTGTAGGAGGCAGTAGGTGCATGAGCTATATTAAAGGTTCTCTATTATCTAATAATAGCCTAATGCATTTTAGCTGTATGAAGCCATTGCCTTTTAGAAATTATGCTTTGGGTTTGGAGTTCAATCAGCACGAGGAAGTTTTTCCTTTATCTTTCCTCTGGCTAATGGCTTCTATAAGGAAAAGGACCAATTGATTTCTTTCTAGAATGTTGCTTCAGGGTGCAGCGACCTTTTATAGGTCATGTTTCAACTTACAGATATATTTTATAGTTTAAATATAAATTGTGCCAAATGCAGACTCTATAATAGGATTTAAGGTTAAATAAAGTTTGAACCTTCCTCAGGCTGTTTCCAGCATCCAAGAAACCCCGCAGCTTTGGAGACAGGTGCTGCATTAAAGTCTCGGCAGGGTCGGGTGTAATACATATAGGAAGCTTGGTATAATGATCTCAGTCCCAGTACACACAAAGACAAACACAAGGATTATGTGATGGCTTTGTTGTTTTGTTTTGTTTGCTTTTGAGACAGGGTGTCATGCAGCACAGTCTGGCCTCCATCTTGCTATGCAGCTGAGAATGACCTTGAGCTCCAGATCCTCTGTTTCCACCTCCCAAGTACCAGGATTCCAAGTATGGGCCATTTTAAAAAGTGCAAGACACTGAGCCCAAGGCTTCAGGCATGGCAGATAAGCATTCCACCAGCTGAGCTATAGTGTCAGCTCCAATTATATAATATTTGGGTTTGCAATGGGACTAGTATTAATGAGTGAACTGTATCCTCTGCAAAGGTAGGCTGGAATTCCTAACCCTTGGTTCCTAGGAGTGTGAATACTTTTTTGGAGATAGAGTGGCTCCAGATACAATCAACTTAAGAGGAAAAAACATACTAGGGATATCCTGGGTACCAGTGATTCTCCTTATAGGAGAGGAAGATGCCACATGAAATCAAAGGCACAGAAGAAAATGGCCACATTGCTTTGGAGCTCAGAATAGTGCAGCAGCAAGCCAACACCATTGAAAACTGCTGTAGCATCAAAAGCTAGAAGAAGCAAAGATGGAGGGACCCTGGCATTGCCAGCACCTTTGTTTTGGATTTCTACCCTCCAGGTTTGTAAGACAGTAGGCATCACTTGCTTAAGTCACCTGTAGGACCCCAAGGCACCTTGAGCTAACCTGAAGCTGTTGGCAGGAACTCCTTGCCCCAAGGCTTTTGTTGGTACTCTTCCCGTGACAACACACCTTGTGACACACACCTCGTGACACATATCCCATGACAACCATACCTTGTGACAACACAGGGAGGAGCTAAGCCTAAAAATTCTTGTTATTTTCCACTGTGCTATAAGTTGGTATTTAAGCCCATTCTTGCCCCTCAATAAACGGCATTCAGCATTTGGCGTTCCGACATTGCCACTGAACGAATGACCTGCTGTCTTGACTTTATTTCAATCTCTAGGCCTTCGCCCTATTCATGGAAGAGATGGTAGCGTGGGCGCTACAGTCACCCAGTGTGGTACTGGTCAGATTACTTTGGGGGCTCCTTTGCAAAAAAAGAACTAGGGGATTTGATAAAGAATCAAGAATTTCAAAATGGTGCTTGTAATTCCAGAACTCAGGAAGCTGAGACAGAAGGATCTAAAGTTCAAGGCCAGCCTGGGCTACATAACAAGAGCCCATCTAAAAAAAACAAGAGCAGTTAGGGATGTTGCTCACTCAGGAGAGTGGTGGCACACATCTAAAATCCCAGCACTTGGGGGGTGGATCAGGTGGATCAGGGGATCAGGAGTTCAAGAACACGTTTGACTACATTGGAAGTTTGAGGCCAGGTTTGGCTATGTAAGACTTTGACTCAAAATAAGATAAAGTAAATCAAGCATTGTCCTGGACATCTTGGGTTGTAGGCCAGGTAGCTGGACCTGGAGCCTAGTCTTACATGACTGGATCCCCAATGGAATGTAGGATATTGTTGCAATGACTTATGGCAATACGATGACTGATCAAGAGCACTCATTTCTTTTCCAATGAGGGGATGCATGTATCATACTAACAACAAACAGAATCCTGAGACCTTTTGTCACAATACTAAGCCTGATGGTTGTGTTTCAGGAAGCCAGAAACACCCTGTATCTTTGATCCTGTTTTTGTTTTTTAATGAGAGAATTTTTTAATAGTCTGATTATCAGAAGTCTGTCCTGGTTGCTCCTGGGTCCTTGGGAAGTTTCCTATCC